CACCCATTAATGACGTCATTGAAGAGCACTCATTAGAATACACATTACAACAAAAAATGTAAGGAGTAGAAGTAAAAAGTCGCCATAAAAATAAGTAGTAAAGTAAAAATATCAGAAAAATCTACTTGAGTACAGTAACTAAGTATTTGTACTTCGTTACTTCCCATCTCTGCTGGCTGCACATCGCGATTCACACTCCATTCCAGTAGGTGGTGGTAATTCCCGTCCAGAAACAGAAGAAGAAGAACTTCTTCTTCAACTATAAACAACAATTGAAATCTTCTCCACGGAACATTTTAAATAATGACACCGAAGTACAGCAATAATTATAAAGCATAACTTTCTGAATGTGACGGGCGCCGCCATTTTGATTTGCTTGATTCCCTTCTTCTTCGTTTTCTTCTTCTTGTGTTTTATGGCGGTTGGCAAACAACTTTTGGTGCATTACCGCCACCAACTGCTTGATTTCCTCCTTTAATGCTGGCAGTAATACCACAGATCGTCACTAGGAGGCGAGGAGGCGAGATAGTGTGATGTGTAAACGGTCGTCAGAACCGAGCTGGGCCTGGTTAACTGATCCGAGCTCGGACCGGTCTCGGCATGGATCGGTTTTTAGAGGGTAGTGTAAATGGGGTAATGGTGTTTACATTATTCCGTTTCATTTCCCACATGTAGTCACACCGCTCAGCTTTCATGGATTCTTTATTGTATTGTTTTATGTTTGTGTTTTTGCATCACTCGGGCTGATGTTGTAGACCTAGTATGTGTGAGCGGCTGTCATGGACGTTACGCAGCAGCAGCCACTGTGGCGTCCATGTTAATAACCAAAGCCAGTTAAACCGCATTCTAGAAGTCTTGGTGATGCTTTAAGATAGATGAGTTAATGTATTCGTGTTGTTTCATATTTGAGACGGTGTAGATGAGAAAAACACCCGCTCTGACCTTTCCTCTAACCTCTCCGGTCCAGTTTAAGACTCTGCGGGTGGACGAGTACCGGCTGGCTCTGAGGAACCTGGAGCAGCACTACCAGGACTTCCTGAGGGACAGCCAGGACTCCCAGATGTTCGGGGCGGAGGACCGAATGCAGGTGGAGTCCAACTACAACCGCGCCAACCAGCACTACCAGACCATGGTCAGCTCTGCAGAGCAAGGTTGGTTCTGTTCGGGTCCGGCTGCTCACCCCCCCACCTCATCTCATTATTTCTGTTTTTGACACCATGTGATCAGTGAGTGAAATGATTGTCGGGTTCCCGTTGCAGGCTTCGCGCCGCCCAGAGCAGGTAAGGAACCGGGTCTACGGCGGCAGCTTGTGATTGGCTGAGTGGGACTGAGTGTGCTTTGTTTTTAACCATCCTCTCTAAACCATCCTAACCGCTCTGATCGTGTGTCTGTGCATGTTTGAGAATCTTAACTGAAGGAGAAATGCTTCTGAATTCTCCTAACCTGTCATTAATTAACCCCGAATGATTTAATGAGTGGAGCAAATGATGGAGGCTCTGATCCGAGTGTAGGTCTCACCTGCGGACGGCAGGAAGCTCTTTGATTCATTTATTGTCGGTTTCTAATGTGACGCCTACTTAAGACGCGGCGGGACGTTCAAACAGATCCTGATCAGTTCCTGAATCAGTCAGAAAGGATCCGGCATCATCGACTGGATCCGCTCCTGCTGCAGGCAGCTCACTGTCTGAAGCTCAGGGAGGAGAAGCTTCAGCAACTGGGAAACTGGTTCTGGGATGTCTGTATGGGGGGAATTTTGTTCCATTATTGTTGCAAACAATATGTTTTAAAAAATTGCAATCCAGAATTTTAACTTGAAAAAACTTCTCAATCAATAAAGATTTTATATTAGATATTTCATATTTTTTAATATATTTTATATTTTCAAATTGTATTTTTTATATATTTTATATTATATATTTCATATTTTTCAGTACATTTTCTAATTTTATTTTTTTTATATATTTTACATTTCTTAATATATCCTATATATTCAAATTTTTATATATATTTTTTTTATATTATGTATTTTATTTTTTTAAATATATTTTATATTTTAAAATGTTGTTTTTTCAAATATGTTTTTTCATAAAGTTTTCCAAATTGCGTTCTTATGTCTTTACTTCGCAGTCGACCAATATGATGTTTTCGCTGTCGTCCAGCTGGCCAATAGAAATGCGTCTTTGCTCCTCAATTGCCGCCCCCAGAATTGAAGAACATGTGATCTGAAAAGAATGAAATACATAAAGCTTAATCAGAAAAATGGAATAAAAAAAAAGTAAAAAATAAAAAGAATAATAATTTGAAAAAAT